GCCTGGTTTCTTGGACTTCTCCAAATGTGAAGGACCCAAGCAAGATGAGTATTTCATGCTCCGAACTTACTCATAGCTTCTTCTCGTAAAAATCTATCTCCTTTGACCCAATCCCTCAAACTTCTACTTTTTTCACTATGTAATTAACCTAATAAATAATTCCACCTTTAATACAGGCTACTGATAATGTCATCCTTTTTACCCTTTCTATATCACATGTTCAACTGAACAGTGGCCTCAGTGCCTTAATAATGGTGTGGACCCTGACAAGTTCTATGAAAGAGAAGCAGGGCACTGGGAAATGTGAGTTTTAGTTCTTCCCCATTTCTGGGACCCAGCAGCTCAGTATACTCACCTCCAACTTAGAGTACTACTTACTTCACAGAGAGGTTGTCAAGCCTAAACTATGAATCATAGGGATTACAAAATTCAGAGACAATTGACATTAACTATGTGAAAATGCTTAACAATTAAAAAGTGTCATGTAATATCATTATCATTATTACTACTATCATTTTAGTTAGTTGTATATATCTCCCCAAATAAATAAACCTCCTCAGAAAGCAAATGTAAAATAACTCTTCAGTATCTCCAGGCATTTTAGAAAACCTTTCCCTAAAGGGGTCCTTCTTTTCCTTTCTTTTCTACTTTAACTAATGATGACCAATTACATAAAGTCTTAAAAGAGTCAGCTTATTATGGGCTAGTCAGTGCCCAATAAATAAAATAAATAGCTCATTTACTTTTATGTTTATTTTTTTATTGCTGTTTATTTTTTTATTGCTGAAAATGAGGACTGTAGTCCTCATTTTCCCCCATTACTCTCCCCCTGCACTACCCACCCCCACTTCCTACATTTAATCCTCCCCCCAGTTGTCTTTGTCCACAGACTCGTTACACATGCTCCTTGATGACTCTTCCACTTCTTTCCCTCATTATTACTCGTTATACTCTCCTTCCCCCTTCCCCCTTCCCCCTCCTGTCTGGTCACTGTCAGTTTGTTCCTTGTTTCCATGTCTCTGGTTCTATTTTGCTCGCTTGTTTGTTTTGATGATTAGGTTCCACTTATAGGTGAGATCATATGGTCATTTACAAAGGAAAAAGAAAAAAGTCACATCTTGAATGTCAAATATCTTTCTTAATCATCTTCTCATTTTCCCATTATGTTCATATGTTTGTTTAACAGAAAGGAATATAGAATTTTTTTTTAATTTTTTATTTTTAGAGAGGGAAGGGAGGGGGAGAGAGAGAGAGAAACATCAATGTGCAGTTGCTGGGGGTCATGGCCTGCAACCCAGTCATGTACCCTGTCTGGGAATTGAACCTGCAAACACTTTGGTTCGCAGCCCACACTCAATCCACTGAGCTACGCCAGCCAGGGCTGGAATATAGAATTTTTAAGAGTAAGAATGCCATAGGAATTATGAAATTAAAATATTGATATAACTTTATGGATCATTGATCTTGAAAAAATATTTACTACATCTATGAACTAAAAAGGTTATAATCAGTATTTGCTGCTTGGTATTTCCTTCCAAAGATTTTCCTATTGGTGGTTCATTTTTAAAAGCATATTTATCTGACAAATCTAGCTTTAATCTTCACAGCTGTGGACATGTTAAGAAACATTCCAGAACACAGGAGGAACAGAAGAGGGAAATTCCAAAAGAATGACTTGCTCATTAGGGGGACCATAAATATCTAAATGTTGCCTTTACCTCACTCAAATATTCACAAAGTATATTAAACACAGGTGAACCACTGGAGAAAAGTTTCTGAAATTCTACTATCCACTTATTAATATCAAATATCCAACATGGGAACTTAGCAAATTGAGACAGTGGGTGTTGAAATTACTCTAAATGGTTTTCAGCATTTGTGGCATGTTTATAATGTTACAGTATGTACTGCAGTATATGCATATAGTGTTGCAGCATATTTCCTGAAAATGTGTTTTGAAATATTTTGCATTTCCTACAGTGATAAAGAAAAAAGTTCTGTTTTGTTCCAATTCTCCATTCTTATCTAGATCCTAAGAAATATTACAGAAGTATATTTTGCATCTAAAATATCATCAATCTGACATAAATTTTTAAAAATCCATGTTTTCTTTATAATAAAAACAGCTACCACATAGAAATTATGTTCAGGATCCTGATATTAATTTATAAGTGTACTGCTCATATTCCACATTTTTCCAAAAAGAATTAAAAGGTAATTTTGACATTAAATAAAATTGTAGAAATTTCAAGAATTCAAAATCTAATCATTGATGAAGGAAAAGAAGTAAAATTAGAACAAATTTCTGCATATGAGAGCATTGTGTGAAATAAAAAAAAGAATATAAAAAGGATATAACGAGAAAACAAAAATCTTATGAGTTAATTTGTAATTACTCAAGAAAAGTAAGACCAATAAAAACAATTTTTACCCCACTTAGGCACTTTGGGTTGTTAGGTATTATTAAGTAAACCAAGTACTATGAACAGAATATATCTGAATTTTAAAAAGTGATTAGAAAAAGAATTTAACTGTATCCTGTTAGATATGAGGGAGATATGTGGGCTTTGGTGGAATTTACAGATGATAAAACAAATCTTTGCAAAAAGTGATGAATGAAAGATTATCATATGAGTTTATGAAGACATACTGAAGTTTATAAATGCCAGAAAGTTCCTTTAAAAAACATTAATACAAACTCTGCTCATACTCCAAAGGTGATAGTTACATCAAGTACATACCCCATTACAGTCTCTGATGTGGAAACATTATTTGGAACCCTGGTTTGGTTATGGCATAATCCGCACGCTACAGGGGACTTGGCAAACAAGACTATGTCCAGCGAAAGAATCAAAGGTGCCAAATATTTTCAAACTACACAATACAAGAATTGGTTAAAAGAACAAATTGTGTTTTGACTGAAAAGAAAGTCTCAAACAACGCATGCTAACTGCTTCTAACGTGTGGAGATCAGTTAAGAGAAAAAAGGATAGGACTCAGGCTATTACCTGAGAAACAGAACTAAGACCAACGGTTACAAGGGGTTGTGAGGAATATAAGAAAATGTCTAACAAATAGAAATAAACTTCTAAAAGAAACAGAAAAACACTGTGAATATCAGGGATGTGCAGCAGAAGGAAAATTGACTAGTGCTCAACTCCTGACCTCATCTCTCTTTTAGTTTTGGGACCTTGGTTCTGTTACTAAGCTTCTCTGCCTTTGTTTCCTTATCTATAAAATGGATGTCCTTACCTTGGACGAAAGTGGGTAAGCCCTCAGAATACTGAGGCAAGGGAAGGGAAAGGCTGAACTAGATGGCTGCCATGGTTCTTTCTATTTCTAAGGCTCTACCATTTTATAATAAAAGAAGAAATATTTTTCATCTTAGATGAGAAATTATTGATAAAAATTTCACTTATTCAGTATATATGTACTGTGTATCTACTATGTGTAGGCACTTTTCTAGGGATACAAATGTGAAAAAATGCACAATAATTCTTGGATTCATAGACCTTATATTGTGTGGGAGGAGACAAACCATAAGCAAAACAAGTATATTCCATAGTATATTAGAAGGTGATAAGTACTACATAAAAAAATAAAGAAAACAAATGTGAAGTTTTACATAGGGTCAGGAAAACTTCAATGAGAAAGTGACATATAAACCAAGATACATTAATTTCATCAGCAATTTTAAAATTAATTGTATTATGCAATCCATTGGAAACCAAACCCTGTGATCCAAGTAATGCATCAAATACTGTAATCTCATCAAAGAATATTATGGGCTGAAATATGTCCCTCCAAAATTCATATGTTGACATCCTAACTTCCACTTATTCATAATGTAACTGTGTTTGGAGACAAGGTTTTTAAAGAGGTAATTAAGTTAAATGAGATCATTAGGTTGGGTCTTAATCCAATATGACTAGTGTTCTTAAAAGAAGCGATTAGGACACAGACTTGGACAGAAAATTCAGGGAGAAGACAACCATCAGCAAGCCTAGAGGCCTCAGGGGAAACCACCTCTGCTAACACTTGGAACTCAGACTTGCACCTCCAGGATTGTAAGGCAGTAGATTTCTGATGCTTAAGCCACCCAGGCTGTGGTGGTTTGACGTGGCAGTCCCAGCAAACTAACACAGAGAATATTGCAATACAGAGACCTAGTTTAAATATTAAGTTTAGGATAATGCACGATTGCATAGTCATTTTTATAACAACTTAGAATCTTCATAAACTTGATATTTAGAATTTCTACATGTATTCTTTTGACATACTGCATTGAAATTTTTTTTAATTTTTATTTGTTGACTTGGGAGGGGGGATTTGGAGGAAGAGAGACAGAGAGAGACATCGTTTTGTTTTTCCACTTATTTATTCATTCATTGGTCATTTCTCATACATACCCTGATGGGGAATCGAACCTGCAACCTTCGCCTATCAGAACAATACTTTAACCAAATGAGCTAAGTGACCAGGGCTTTTGGACTGAATATCTTAAACCTACTGGTTTCCCCCCAAATGCTCTATTGAAAAGATATCATTAAATATATATATATCACAAGGACTTTACAACTAATAATGACTAGCTTAAGTTGTATGTAAACTTTCAGGATATGCAAAACATTTGTTTTTCTATCAAGATAGGTATAGGTAAACCTATTGAAGTTTAAGATGGCAACTCAATCTTACAGAATGTTCATGTACACAGGCAAACAGGTACTGTTATCAGAATTTAGTTTTTCCCACCTCATTCGAATACTTGTCCTAATTACTGACAGAGGGGTTAGCACAGCCTTGCTGCGCACCCGTTATCAGCTGGCCCCCTGCCCATATAAGCACTCTGCATGGCTATGAGGGAAACATCGAGTATACATTTAAAATGTTCTTCAACTTAAAGAATATTGTTTCCTATTCTTTCTATTTCTGTTAGATTTTCCTATTAGTGAAATAAATTAGTTTTCGAGATTAAAAAATAAGTGAATGAATATACTTACATGTCCCACTAACTTAGATGCTTTCTCAAATTCTTCACCCTCCTCCATTAGTGCTTCTTCAGTCCCAGGTAAAGAGTCTATTTTACCAAAAGAACAAATGACTTACCATCATATATTGCTTGGCTGTGATATATAAGCCTATTGTGATAAGGATATTGAAGTGACGGAACTGGTTGTTGAAAAATTACAGTGTTTGTGAGTTAAAATAAGAGTGTAAAATGTTTATTTAGCTTACAGAAAACCTATGAAAAATGTTAAGGACTTCTAACTTAGGAGGACACAATGAAGTCAGGAATGTGCAAGAGCTGCTGTTATCTTGGATAGGGCAAAGTTTCTTTCAGCATATTATTCAGCTAATTGTTGGAACTTATATTTAATGTCCTTTTTCCGGTTTGTAACTTTCTATTTCTTTGTTTTTACTATCAACTGTCTTCCTTTTCTTTTCTGGCCACACAAGTTAAACATCATTTTGTATTCTTTCTTTTATGTTTTTCTTTTAACTATTTTATTGTTTATGCTATATCCTAAGAATCCCAAAATATCAATTAAAAAATATATGCACCCCAATGTTCATATCAGTGTTATTTACAACAGCCAAGATTAATATTCTTTCTTTTAAATAGGATGGGGAATTATGAAAATTTTGGAGAAGAGTGTATATTATTAAATGATATTTTCCACTTTAATGTATCAAGCACAAAGTTGTGATTGCTTACCTTGAACAGACTGAGGAGTGCACGAGGAGTGACTTTCAAATATGTGAATTAAAGGATGGCAAGCCTTTCTCTGTCTTCTGACTTAAATTAATTTTAACAATAAGGAGTTATATGAGTTACAAAAAATTCTGCAATAAGGATAGTGACATAGAGTACCTAGAAATAGTCTGTCTTAATACCTTCTATTCAAATAAAAAACATTTTAAACCATTGGAGACTTCTAAAATTGATTTCTTATAATTATTAATATTTGAAAGAGTCATATAAATTCCGAAAAATTTTCCTTTGGATACACGTAAATATGGAGGTGGGCTTTTCTGTTGGACAAAATGTGCACTCTGGGAAGAAACTGAGAACATTGAGTCTGTGAAGCCCTAATGGCCGCCCGAGGCCAAGGAAACAATGGAAAGCTCAACATAAATCTATTATCACGGCTTTTGAATCAAGGATCTTCTTCTATCTCTCATAATTCAGATTTTTAAATTCAAGAATCCCAGGGCACTTAGCTTATCAAGATGTAAATGTAGGTTTCATTTTAGAACATGGAATTCTTTCCACCATAAAACTAACTGTGGGAGCACCACTACATTCTCAAGCTGTAAATAAATTAAGAAATTTTACCTCCCCACCCTACCAAACAGACAGACATTACAAAATAAAATTTTTATTGACAAAAATCTATACAGATGATGAGAATTAAACCAAGTTCAAAATATTAATACACTTACAAAGAATACTTGAACCCTTATTTACCAGTCATTAAGGGTGACAATAGACTCACCCTTAATGAGTGGTAAATAAGGGTTCAAGTATCCTTTTAAGTTAGGATGCATAAATTAGAATAATGTAAGTCCTCTAAGACCAAATTATAGTCTACTGAGCTATGAGTAAATACCAGTATAATTTTAGTATTTACTCAGTATTTTTCCTCTTTGATTTGTGTTCAAATTCTTATTTGGGTAGAGTATTGACTTAATAAATAATATTGAAATACTTTATTCTGCATTACAAAGCAAATTATTTCATCTATAGGAGAAGAAAACCCACCCTCTAGTGGATTTGCTGATTTTTTAAGGTTAGAAATACTATAACTTAGTTTTCAAGTTCTCAGTAAGTAATTTTAAAGAAGTATTATCATTCTGATTATTTTTTTAATGCATGTATGGATTAATCAGTTCATTCATCCATTTATCTGTGTATTTGTATATTCAATTTTCAACAAACACTGGATGTCAGACACTCTACTAGGTGCTTCAAAACAAGATGAACAAAATAATTTTTTATGAGTCTCTTTTACAGTCTGTTCTGTTCTTGCTTTGGTTGAATTCTTCTGCTTATTGGTACAATATCTAGAGGGATCCAAGATAGGATGAAGTCCATTCAGGGTAGTACAGGGCAGCTGTGAGGTCCTGCCAGGGCATTTTTGAATTTACATATCTAACCATATTGCAAGTTGTTATTTGAAAGAACTCTGCTAAATAGTTCAAATCTATAGAATATCAACATAACATGTTAGTAGAGACATGAGATATCATAAAAATAAAATCTTAGGTTCATGCTCAGAGCTCCATTTTTAAAAGTATTTTAGTACATTGCTGATTAACAATAACTGGTGGGTGCGTATGTATAAACTATTTTGCTCTGTTTACTTACTAACTTTCATAAATCTCCATCATTTTTAAAATACAGGCAATGAATTCTTTGAGCTTTTTAAAATCACATTGAGGAGAATATGAGTCTCTAAATTAGTCAAATATTAGAGTTCATCTTGTTTCTTCATTTTAGAAAAGAAGAAACGAAAACATAGAAAGATAATTTTGTCAAAATCTAAGTCTCTGGCAGCACTTGAACTAGGAACCTGTCCCTGTTGTAACTGGACATGCTGCTAGAAACCTAGAAATCTGTAGAGTTTACTACAATGTTTAGTTTATCCACCTTTCTCCTGACATTATTTTGACTTCTGCTATTTGTGTCACAATAGGCTTTTTATGCAAAAAATTATATATATTCATAGAAATATTTTTTAGTCTAATTCAATGCGGATACACAGCTGACATAAATAACACATCAGCACTTCACAGTAATAGTAATATTTTTAAATTATGGGATCTAGTTATTTTACTAACTTAATTGGAAAAGAATGTACTGAATCAGAAACTCCTATTTTCAGATTTGTGAATTAAGTCTACTAATATTTGAATGTGAAGAGTGCAGAATATAAGCAGTTTAAGAAAGGACCTTAAACTTACTGAACATATCTTTTCCCAGTGGATGCAAGAAAAATGTAATCAAGATATTACTAATGCATTGTTTAATTTTCCAAAAAATTTAAATCCATATAATTCTCAGTTATTATGAATATGATGGCTGAAAAGATGCAGATTTGTAGATTGGTGGATTGGGGTAGTTTTGAGAAAAATTTTTAAAATAATGGACTAGTTAAGTAATATCTGTCTTGTGTCAACAAATGGCCAGCTTGGAGTGTCATTTTGCTGCTGACACATTGCCCGACTTCTGCTTTCAGTGCTAAAGTTCTTGTCTGATGTCATTAGTACTATGAGATTTCAGTATATATAAACTATTATTATTTTTTATATTGTGCTACACTGGCTTTGGTTTATGTTTCCATCACAGTTTATTTTTAAATGTTCTTTAGCTAATATTTGACATATAAAAAGTATATACAAATTATATTTGTGTATAATATATAGTATGTTTATATTACAAAACATGATGAAATAAACACCTCAATCTACCACCTAACTTAAAAATTAGAACTTTCCAATAATCTTCACATACCCAGAGGCAACTTCCTTATCCCACTTCTTTGCTTCCCCCACTCACTGACAATAACCACCATTTTCAGTTTTTCATTTCCTTCTTTAAATATAGTTTCATCACGTATGTACATCTTCTTAAGAACATGTTACATAGATTTGCTAGTTTTGAGCTAAAAAATTGGCATCCTATGACCTGCTTTTGTTCAATCAATATTAAGCTTTTAGGATTTATTCAGCTGTGAGTTGCAACCTGCTACATGATTTGGGAGACCCAACTGCCTCTTGGATTGGTTACCTGAATTTAACTTTAGTGAGCGCGTGGGCCAAGGGTATCCAACCCACAGCCCAGGATGGCTATGAATACAGGCCAACACAAAATCGTAAATTTACTTAAAACCTTTTCTTTCCTCATCAGTTTTCATCAGTGTTTGTGTATTTAATGTGTGGCCCAAGGCAACTCTTCTTCTTCTAGTGTGGACCAGAGATGCCAAAAGGGTGGACACCCCCAGAAGGAAAACATATGTCTCTACAAATCAGGATTTTTCTCCTTTCAAATAAACAGTTGTTCATATTTATTAGCATTCCATTGGTTTTTATCCATCTTAGGTGTAGTTGAAATGCATTCAGTTTCCTACAGTGTAACGATTCTACAATGTATCCATTTTCCTCTCCTGGAGCCTGCTAAGAAGGGTGTTCAGGTGTCATGGTGTTACAGGGTGCAGCCAAGAGGGGGGACCCCAAATGGGCATTTGAAATGGGGTCCAGAACTTAAGGTGTCCAGGAGATTTTAAAATGTCTCCACCCGCCCCCGCCATGGTGTGGGTTGGGGGAAGGGACAAATGGAGCAGGGCCATTGAGAGCTGTTTTGCATAGCAACAGCCTTGCAGCTACCCTCTGGCATGGTCATTTAACATATGTATAGCCTTTGGCTAGTCGCTTATGTATGTTAAATAGCTGTGATCATCTCTGAGCCAGGGGAATGGAAGTAACTTCCCCACCAAGACGTAACTGGGGGCAGATCCCCCAAGCTACAGTGCGTGGGAGCTCGGAGAAGATTGGCTCCAGGACATGGGGCCACACCTGCCCAGACTCATGATGGCAGCCCAGTAAACCTGGAAGGATACGAGTTCTGGCATGTGAAGCTGAGTGTGGGAGGAGTCAGAAATGGGGCTGCAGAGGAAGATTGGCCGCGGGGATTTAAAACCCAGACTTGGCGGCCATTAGGGGAGAGAACCATGCGGCTTTAGCAGAATAGGGAGGACCTCAGCCATTGAGGGAGAACCGTGCTGCTTTAGGAGAGAGAACCACATGGCCTTGACAGAGTGGAGACTCCCGCAGCCCTGAGAGGGAGAACCACAAGGCCTGGACAGAGCGGGGACCCCCACAGCTTTAGAAGGGGAACTACCACCTGGTTTTAGCAGAGATCCCAGCGACTCAGCTGAGGGTGCCGGGAACCCAGGGAGGTCTCCCAGTCAAGATGGAGGACTAACTGGGAAGAACCAGGGACTGCCTGAGCCATGGACTTCTATTTCCTTTCCTGAGATACGGTACTCTGGACTGGGCAAAGGGGAAGGAAGGAAGGACTGTGTGTGTTTGTGGGTGTTTTAAGGGACTTTAGGATTTTTGATAAAGACATTAAGTCACTACTTTAAGTTAGTATAGCATTAAATAAACATTTCCTTTCCTTTTCACGAATCTCTGGCATTGAGAGACGTCTTTCCTCTGGTGGCAGACATAACGGACCCGGGGCCTTCTTTCAATAATAGTATATTGTCTCAGGCCCCCCTTGTGTTCTGTAACAATGGCACAGGTCTTGTTTCTCTAAGAGATCTTTCTAAAAGAGGAGTGTCGCGGTTTATGTCACAGAAATGCTCAAGAGTTTAAGATAATAGAACAATTTCCAAAATTGTTTATTTTCCATATGCAGTGCATGACTTTCCTTTCATCGTGTCTTCACCAGCACTGGGCTTTGCCAAATTTCTTAATGGCAAACAAAAGGTTGTAAAACCGCATCTCTCTGTGATCTTAATTTGCTTTTCCTTGATTATCAGAATAGTTAAGAAGCTTTCAAATGCTCATTGGCCACTGTGTTTCTTCTGTGTAATGCTAACTCATACCTGTTGCTTATTTTCCTATTGGTTTGTTGAGCTTTTCTTTATTAAATTGTAGGTGTTCTTTATGTATTCTGAATATTAATATTTGATCAGTGACAAATATATTTTCTTATTTTGTGGCTTACCTATTCACTTTTTGTGGCATCCTTTGATGAATGGAAGTTCTTAACTTTCTATAGGGACTTCGTTTTAATCTTTCTCTCTTATAGTTAAAAGTTTTTCCACCTGTTTAAGATGCCCTCCTTTATCCAGATATAAAAATATATATATTTTTATAGTTTCTCTTTTAATATACAAGCTATATGTCCAACTGATTCCTGCTGGAACGCCAAATGATAAAACGATAATAATGGACCTTGGATGCCATTGTAGTGGCATTACATGTACTTATCATTTATTCAGCAAACATTTTAAAGTGCCCCACCAAGAACTCAGTATGCTAAATTAAGGAGTTTGAATTTTGTCCTATAAAAAATGTTGGGAACTGCCCTGACTGGTATCAGAGGCTGAAACCCCCGCCTAGGCTAAGGCTAAGGGAACACCCTTGGAACCGTTAGCCAGCAAGGAGACAAAAGCTTATCTCCCTGGCAGGAATGCTGCTTCTGCTGCTTTATTCATAACTAAACCCCAAAAAGCTTGGTCGGTTAGCCAAAGACAGGCAAGGTTCCCCCAAGGGGGGAACGACCTAAGACAGGCACGATCACTTTGGGAGGCCCCCCAAAAGAAGGACTTGGGGGCTGCAGCAAAAGGGGGTGATGGACCCTGGCTCCTCGGCTTTGACAAAGCCTGAGTTCTCGTCATCTGGGAGAAAATCTCCTTATCTCTTGGTTGCCTTAGTTCCCTTGCTCCACCTAAGCCTGAAACAATGACAGGGTGGTGCAGCTCTGTGCTGAAAAGGGCAGGGTGGATTCCCCGGGTGATCAGGCCTAAGAAAGAATATGTAGATTACTGTGAAACCTTCTTTGTTTAGAATGCTCTCAGGTGAATGAGAGGGGTCCAAGGAGGAAGTTAGTTTGTTCCTCGAAGTCTTACAGCTCTTTGACACTGACTCAAAATAGACCGGCAGAGTTCCTTGTTTTCTATGGTTCCTTACTTCCCCTAATGAGTACTGTACTTTACCTGAATTATATGCAAAATGAGCCCAATATAAGCAGGTATGGACGGTGAATCGGCGCGCTCCCCACTAGGGGGAGTGGCCATTTCGTCCCTACTTCTCCACAGAAACTAGTTTGTCTCTGTGCATGTTTTTTCTCACGTGTTTTCGGTGAGCCATCCACAGTGTTCCTTGGTCACTGCTGGCCGGTGACCCACGCATCAGAAAAATGGGGGGTGAAGTAAGCAGCTTTGCTTTTAGAAATATAATGAACTAAAGCGAGGTGAGACAGTATGAAGAGACTTTCTTCAGGGCTGTTACACTAGACAGGGAAAGGGAACAATCATACAGACCAGGCAGCATTGGGGAAAATGAAGAGGAGGCTGACTTAGAGAGGAAGTTCTGAAGTGACAGTGACATAATCTGAGAACAATTTAATATAAGGATGAGAGAGGGAGCAAAATCAAGTATCGTATGGACCCTTCTGCCTAGGAAGAGTGAGAAATGTATAGGGCCCGTCAGAAGTAAGTCCTGCTTAAGTATGGTTGGTAGGGTAATAATATGGGTATGATAATTTATAGTTTTATTTTAAACATTTCACCTAAAATGTCATATGGTGTGCTTGAGTGTGATATTGTTATGCTATAGAATTATATGCTTTATGATTTTGTAATAAAAGACTTTGTAATAAAAAGGGGCACTATTTGTGCTGGAGTCTGTATGATGTGAAAATGGGAATAGGCAACATAAAGTCCCAAAAAGAAGTTGAAATTAGTGACAAAATTTTGGGAGCAGCCAACACATAGTTGACCTTTCTGTACCTTAAACAGGCACAGACATTAAGAGGCCGCTCCTCTGAATCCACATTCATTTCCCCTAAACCTCCTGATATACAGCCTGAAGGAGTGGCAGACATGTGACAGGAGGCTGACATTGTTGGATTTAAAACTTACTAGAAGAATCCAGGATTATTTCATCTGGAGAATGAAGTATTTGTGATGTCTCATCTGTTCTTTCTGCCAGGTTGTCTCCTTGAAGCCTAAATAATTAAAATATAATTAGAAATAATTAGAAATGTAAACTACACACGGTAGGGGATGTGACTATTAACTTCTAGACTCTAAAATCAGACATGCTTCTTCAAAATAGAAATAAAAGTGTACCAATGCCTTTGTGATATGGTGTTTTTGCTTTTCTAACCTTGAAAAGTCAACTTTTTTCTCTTCTGTATGAAGGAAGGTTAGTTTAGGTAAAACTGCTTTCTTCTTAGCCTGACTGGAAAGGAAGGTTTAGAGGCAAATGTCTCACTACAACTACAACAAGGAAGTGCATGGAAGAAAAAGAGTCTCACACAGCATGTTCACCTGTTTCCTGGGTCCAGGGGCAGGAGAAGATTGCCATTCTACGCGGAGGGTTACCAAACACAATTCTCCAAATGGACCAAACCTGAGCTTTGAGGCCTGTGGCTCAAGATAAGTCTCAATAGTGGAAGTAAAGATTCCTAACACGTGTGACTGCCTGGGGTTCTTGGAACACTGGATCTTCTTTAGCAGAGAAGGGCTGTATGGGTACTTTTATAACTATATTTCCAAGCCTCTGTATCCACATCTCTATGGTGAAAAAAATAGACTAGCAAAATCCAATTCAAAGAGCCTGGGTGTATATTATACTGTGAAACTACTCTATCGAAGACAATAGAGCTCATCAATAAATGTTTGGAACTCTGTCTTAAAAACAGAAGGATAAGGTTTTTGGTAGAGGATGTTGCATCAAACCATCCAGAGATTAGAGTTTTTTCTGTTCCTTTACCCTTCTCTTGCATTTATCTGACAGCAGTACCTCATTAAAGAATATTAACAAATGCATAAAATACAGCATTAACATTTTTAAAATTCAAATATAATTCATAACTGTACAATGCTCAGAAGTTAAATTTTTCAACTATTTTACCTTTGTTTTTATATTCCCCAGTGGAATCACATAATAGTTTGACTTCTGCACATTCAAAAATATGCACGTATCTTTCTTTAACTTATGTGCAATTATAAATATTGTAAATTATATTTTCACTTGTATTCCTATATTCTACATGTTTCTGTACATACTATACATTTATACTTACATATTATCTTCTATATACAAAACCATATGTACTTTATTATATAAGTTAATCAAAGAATTTTCAAGGGTAAATTTCTGACAGTTATAACACTTTTTGATCAAATATATATTTTTTATACTTTTAAAAATTTTTCAATTACACTTTAGATTTAATATTATTCTGCATTAGGTTCATATGTATAGCAAAGTAGTTAGAAAATAATGTACTTTACAGAGGGGTAGCCACATGGTCCCATACCTACTTATCTCAATATTATTGTCTATATTCCCTATGCTGTAATCTGTATCTCTGGCTATTCTGTAACTATCAATTTGTACTACTTAATCCCTTCTCCCTTTTCACCCAGCCCTCCACCCCTGCCTTCTCATAGCTGTCAGTCTGTTCTCTGTATCTGTGAGGCTGTTTCTATTGTTTGTTCCTTTATTTTGTTCACTAGAGGTCACATATGAGTGAAATCATATGGTATGTGTCTTTCTCTGACTGGCTGATTTCACGTATAATAATCTCTAGGTCCATCCATGCTGTCATAAAAGGTAAGATTTTCTTCTTCCCTCCCTCCCTCCCTCCCTCCCTTCCTTCCTTCCTTTCTCTTTTTATTTTTTTTTTAAAGCCAAGTAGTATTTCATTGTGTATGTACCACCACTTTTTAATCTACTCATCTGATGGGAAGTTGCGTTGTTTCCAAATCTTGGCTATTGTAAATAACACTGCAATGAACGTAAGGGTGCACATATTCTTTCAGAACAGTGTTTCTGGTTAACTTGGATATATTCCCAGATGGCCAATAGACATATGAAAAGATACTCAACATCACTAATCATCAGAGGAATACAATGCAAATGAAAACCACAATGAGATATCACCTCATACCTGTCAGAATGGCCATCAATAAATCAACCAACAATACGTGCTGGCAAGAATGTGGAGAAAAAGGAACCCTAATGCACTTACTAGAAGAATCCGGTGGGAATGCAGATTGGTGCAACCACTACAGAAAATAGTGTGGAGGTTTCTTATAAAATTCAAATGGATTTTATACTTCTAAGTTAAAATTTTACTTGAAGAAAACCCCACAAATTTTAAGTGAATAATTTAGCTACATCCTAAATGTGTTCATCTATTTCTTTATCTGTTTTACTTCTAATAATTAAAATAAGTATTTCACTAATCAGTAATATCAAATATCCTTTTTGTTTTTTCCCTAGGCCTACTTCATTAAAATTATCAAAGATAGAATGTATGTAGGTACATGAGATATTAAAAGGTGTAAGTCAAGCCTAGAGAGGTGGCTCAGTTGGTTGGAGCATCATCCCATACACCAAAGAGTTTGTGGGTTCAATCCCTGGTCAGGGCACACAGCTAGGTTGTGGGCTCAATACCTAGTTGGGGTGCATGTGGGAGGCAACCAAATAATGTTTCTCTCTCTCCCCCTTTCTCCCTTTTTCTTTCTCTAAACATATCCTCTGGTGAGGATTTAAAAAAAAGGTGTTAATTCAAAATTATTAAATTTAATACCTGTTTGGGTATTTAACATTAGGTTAAAAAACTAAATGGAAAATAAATCTCCAATGAAGGCAGAAAGAAGCAAGAAATAACAAATAAGTTGTAATTTATTTTGCTCACTGCAAGCTTCAGTAAAAAGAAATATTTGTTTAGCATTTATTAATATGCCCAGTAATAAGACAAATGTTGTAGAGATGTAAAGCAATTACAACTGTCCCTGATTTCACAGAAGTCACAATTTAGCTGAGTTGAAAAGACAAATGGCCATGAAAACAGCCCTGCAAATTGGGTGGCCCTGAATCTGGCTCATCCTCTCCCAAGCAGTGCCCTCCGGGCACCTTAAAAGTTGAGTTCACCGTGGCTTGGCACCAGCCCCACTGCAGAATGCCTCACAGCCCGCTCTCCTCGAGCGCTCTGCCAGTGGTTCCCAAGCTGCAATCCACACAGCACCACTTCTGTAAGAGGTTAATAGGCGCTGTACAAACAAGGGTGGTGTGGGCAAGTCCAGGAAATACAGCCTTAATAAAAGTTAAATTATTTTCTTCCCTACAAGAGTTTTACTCAGACTCTCAAACTTTTTCTCTTTGCTTTCTAAAACTCCTCTTCTGTATTAAACACTCTTCTCTATTCTCAGCCCCTCAGCAAAATGTGTCCTGCTCCTCCTTGTCTTAACTGAAACCCTTTTCTCTTCTAAGAATATGGCATTCCTTTTTTTCCTCTAAGGGTTACAGTACCTCCTCTCTGAGGGAGGCTGCCTACGCTTCCACCTCAGATAACAAGGGACTATAAATATTAACCTGTCATCCTTCTGCCATGAAAGCTTTGCATGGGCTTAATTTTTTCTTCTTCAACTCCAATGTTACTATTATCTGGAATGGTTTTCATGTTCATGTGTATTTATCCACTAATTTCAAAGTCCTTCGGTCTCAGATCTGCAGATCTGCCCCTCCACTTCACCTTCCCTAACCCAAGGACAGAGAACCCAGAACTGTCCTGTGTCAGAAATTATTGAATCTGACGTTCAGTTCTCTAACAACAAATTCACACCCTTTAGGTTCTTTCACAAACTCACTGTCCTTAACACTTTCTCTTTGATTAAACATAGCTTTCCATTTTCTCCCAGGTCTCTGGCCCCTCCTGAGTCCCTTCCTGCTCTACTCAGCTGGACTTGGTGTGTCCTCAGTTCCCACGCACCCATGCCCTTCTGTCATTACTGCCCAGCCAGACCCTAACCCTGTACTCAGCTATCACTTTCCTGCACATGTGCAGGTGAACAACGCTGGAGAAAATCATGACACTCTAGGAGTAGTGAGTATAAAACAATGGTCTCCAACTTTGAACTTGGGCTTCTTGGTTGTCTTCCACTCCTTTGAAAGTCTTTTCAACAATATCACCTCCCTACTATGTCATCCAAAAAAATTATGTAATCTGGAATAAAAAGACCTTTTACTCCCCCCTCACACAGCACCTACAACATTATCTTCAACTGGAATTATATTTACTTTTCACTGGGTGTAAGAGGCCTTCTTTCCTATGTAAGGTTTAGACCAAGCGTGTCCAACCATTTGGCATCTCTGGGCCACACTGGAAGAAGAGTTTTATTGAGCCACACATTAAATATGTTGTGACACATAACCAATAAAAATAATGTCATAATGTTTTAAGTAAATTAACGATATTGTGTTGGGTTGCATTCATAGCCATCCTGGGCTGCATGCGGCTCACAGGCCACATTTAGACACTCCTGGTAGGCCATTCATTAGGCTGGTGATTTGAATCCTATCATTTCATATCCCCCTTGGATTTTATTTTATAATATCCACCACTAGTCATTCTGTTCATCTCCACCGCTTATTTTCCACAGCATGAAACCAACTTATTTCTTCTTCAGCCTTAAAAACAAACATGAAACAAAACCCCACCCATAATTATCCCAAACATCTAGCTATTGCTTCCTCTTGCTCATTCTTCTTTGAGCCATACTCACTAAATGTTCTTTATTCAGTGCCTTTACTTCTACAGTTTTCATTTACTCTTCAACCTATTTTAATCTGGTTGGTGCTCCTATTATTCTGAGGTGACTGCTTATACTATATACAATGTAAACTCTTTAGACCTTGTTTTTATTTAATTTTCAGCTGCATTTTGTATGAACACTCTATTACTACTCTACATCATCTCCCTGAATTAGCTCAGCTACTCTTATGGGTTTTTTTTTAAACCACATATAGGTTGAGGTTTTTCAAATCTTTATCTTGAGTCCTCATTTCAAGATTAATATGCCCAGATTCTTGCAGGACAATTTACTTGAATGCACCATAAGCATTTCAAAGGCAACATGTCCAAAAGCAAACTCATCTTCATCATCATCTTTCCTTGCACTGCATGTGGCTAATCACTCTCAGTCTTGCTAA